GTGGCCCTGCACGGCATAGCTCATAGCTTCATTGAGCTATGCAAGCCACTTTGCCACGACAAGGCAGTGATCCATGAAGGAGATACTGAGTTCATACATAGTTCATACTAAGGCCTAAAAATGGAAATGTACAACAAAATCCCAGTAACAATAAAAATTGTAGCCACAATTAACAGGATCACCAGCCTTGCAGGCCAGGAGTAATGGACCAGACAGAGAAGTAGAAAGCCAGGTCTTAAAAGACTCCTGAGCAGATAGGTTCTGGACTCCTTAACCATAGCTCAGAGACCAGGGGGTCAAGCAGATCAGCAGAGTACCAGGACTCACACTAAGATGTCTCCAGTCTTTGTTTGAAGAAAGCATGTAGTTGCTGTGCTCTTTGTGTGAACCCATGCAGCTATTCAGTTTTCCCTCCTTAACAGAAAATACTATATAAAAAACAGCGGTAAAAGGCAGAATAGTTACAAATGGAAGAACACTCAAAATCTCTTGAATGGGGCAGAATTATTGCAAATCAAAGCCTCATCTGGAAGAATTCTAAGCATCACAACTGAATTAGTTCTGTCCCTATGCTTAGAGCCCGATCTGTACCTCCGGCAATAGGTATCCTTGCTTCATTTACACAGATTATCCTGTGGGGCAGGGGTGCGCGATTGCACAAAAGTTGAAGGGGAGAGGCACATATGCAAAGCACACATAAACATGTACCAGTGAGTCATGGCCATTCACAAATTCTTAGGACATGTTCCAAATACCTGGAGGCTGAACACTTCCTTTCACACATGCTGCCCCTCTGCAAGGATTTGTGGTATACTTGTACAAAACACTCTTGAGGCTTGTAAATTTGGGTTACCCACCAGATCTTCTTTTGTATACTTCTTTTCTTAGCCTTGGTGTGCCAATCCAAAGGGGTTTGTTTTGTTTTGTTTAGGATTCTCTTAGACCCAAGCTAGAGGTGATGAGAGATATCTGGATGCAAGATCCCTTGTATATCCATGAAAAACCACCTTTGTTGATGATATCTTGGCATCCCTCCGTCCCTGTGATGGCAAAAAGATTGGAATGTGTGGTGTTCGTCAGGAAAATGGCAGTGGGGATAAAGAATTAGTCCCTCTTTCTCCAGGTGTTACAGTCCTCATCCGTTCCTGCATACTGGCAAATCACCATCATCATCTACAGATCTGATCACAGGATGTCTTGTGGATGCCCACAGATGACTGGTTTGCAATCTAGGGTGTTAAAAATTCCAGGTCTGAACCAAAGATAGAATTTTTCATCTTTGCTGTGGATTCAGTTAAGCTACTCTGTTGTGTCTGATACTGAGAAATTAGCTTTATAATACCAATATGCTTCTATTTCAGGGCCGGAATCTTGCAGACCTTAGAAGAAGCCAGCCTAGGGGAACCTTTACATTGAGCACAACCCTCCGATTAGGCAAACAGATTCTAGAATCTATAGAAGCCATTCACTCAGTGGGATTCTTGCACCGAGACATCAAGCCTGTAAGTAGTTTCTAATGACTGTTCTTCCTGCATCTCTGTGTTGCTGATGCTGTTGCCATTCCTTTTGCTGCTGTTAAAATTATCCAAGAACATGAGTGAATGTAATCATACACGGAGTTGAGGAAGAATAGGCTTTCATGCTGAGGTACAGTGCTGTTGCTCAGGTGTGTTTCCAGCCTTCCTTCTCACTCTTACAATTTGGGCTGGGCAGCAGCTATTAAATCCATGTAGTCTGTATTACTCATGAACAGTCAAGACTCAGTTGCACACATGGTCAGCTTACCTGGCTTTGGTTACATTAAAGCTGCAACAGTCTTTAGTGCTTTTTTTTTAAAAAGTCACTTTATACTTTTGGAGTAAACATGGAGGAAAAACAACAACATGAGAAGTAGGGTAACACCTACAGCATCCTTCTCCAGCCAGGGCTGTGAATTTTGAAGCTACAGTCCAACATACCTGGAGTGTGCCGGGTTGGTTTTCCTTTTCTGCAACTGTTGAAGCACTTTTTATCTATGAAAATATAGTGGATCAGCAGGCATTTTTTAAAATCATACTTGTGAAAATCCCCACATCTCTTAAGGCAAATAATGGCTAATTATATTCATAATAGTATTAGTAACAGTGAAAAGTGACTCTCTTGTTACATGCAAAGAGATACTTGTGTACTAAACTCTTCTTACATTATTCTTATCTAGTCCAACTTTGCCATGGGACGCCTACCCTCAACCTACAGGAAGTGTTATATGTTAGACTTTGGTCTGGCACGGCAGTATACCAATACCAACGGTGAAGTCCGGCCCGTAAGTGATGCCTTTTCCAATACTGCTGCCATTTAGGTAACGGGGATGTAAAACAAAACAAAACGAAACGAAAACTGTTTACAGCTATATGTTTATATTATGCATATTTGCAATACGTTTTCTGCTATTTGGGAATGCAAATTTGATAGGATCAAAACATGTTGTGGTTTTTCTGGAAACAAAGAGACACTAGATGACTTTAAAAACAAAATTTTCTTTGCATATGTCTGTCCCTGTTCATCAGTGTCCTGCATGGGAATCCAGGAAACAGGGCAGTGTTGTTTTAAATTTGTTTGCATTGTTCCATTAATTCAGTTGTACTGGAAATCCTGTTTCTTAAAACATGTCTCATGCAGAGAGCAGAAGAGCAACAGGGTTGTTTCCAGTAACTACATAAGCAGAGGGCAGCTTGCACAATCTATCTTTCTCTTTGCCTTCTTTCCCCCACGGTGATGTGAACCCCGAAAAAACCACTTCAAAAGGTCAGGAGACTCTCCTGGAGGGCATTGCTCTGGTACTAGAAGGTTCTTCTGCCTGATTTTGGGAAATTCTTTCCTCCTGCTGCGCTTTGCATGACACAGTGCATGCTTCTCAGGAGGGCCCTTCAGTTCTCTAGAGAGAGGACTTGGGAAGTGCATGAGGCTGCATGGGCATGGAGGGGAAGGGAAAAGTTGTCCTGACTTCTGCTCATGCAACCATTAGATACACCCCCGGATTTTTTTCCCCTTTTTGAATGAATTCACATTACAATTGTGAGGGTTTTTAAAATTAGAAATCTTCTGCTTTTATTATGTGACTATTTCCATTTTCACTATAATTTTCAGTTTCAGCAAAATCGGTTACACAAAACTGTTACTTTGAATGAAGTGAATGGAGTGTCCTGCATGTGCAGGAGCTGTATATACACATAGCAATGTGCTTTGGGTAAAGGTAGTGTTTTTCCCTTGATGTGCCAGCCCTTCTACTAAATATAGTTAGGAATCTAATAAAAGCATACCGAAGTTTTACTTAGGTCATTCAGTCCTGCATTCTGTTTTGTTGTGCTTGATGCAGTTGTGCTTGTGGGCTCCAGATTGTCCTGTATCTGCATGTACATCAAAGCTATTGACCTTATAGTCACATCAGTAGAATATTAAAATAATGAAGACGTACAGAGGTTTCCTATCTATTAGTTACCTCATGAAAATGCTGTTGTATTTGTTAAATGAATCCCAGCTAGGCTTTTCAATAGTGCTATATAGGAACAATTGTTTGTAATGAGTACAGGGAGGGCCTGTGGAAAAGTGTTGCAGGGTATTCCCAACCTCTACCCCAGCACAGGGATGCAGGGCCACTTCTGGTGGGTGACCGGATGATCATCTGGCCAGGATTCCCCAGGCCACAGGATGTCAAGTGTGCCCAGCCATGCTCTTGATGTCAATGGGTGTAGCCAGACCCACCTACTGTCATTTGCTCCCTGGCCTTTTCGCAAGTTTTCCCTGCTAGCGATGCTGCTCATGCAATGAAGTCAGACTGGATGATGAGAAGCAAAGAAGACTGGGTCAGCTGTACCCTGCTGTTTTGCTCCTGCCTCCTTCCCACAAAGGGAGAAGGCAAAAAGACTGAGCTCCCCTTGCTCCTCTGACCGGAACAAAGAGAGCTCAGCTGGAGCAAAGCTCAAGGAACCAAGGTTCAATTTGGATGCCAGGAAGTACTTCCTGACAGTTAGGACCCCAAGGGTATGGAATGGGCTTCCACGGGAGGTGGATGAAGCTCCATCGGTGAGGGTGTTCAAGGATAGGCTGCACATGCACATGGTAGGAGCCGGCAGTAACTGAACCAGACTAGATGGCCTGGGAGGCCTTTTCGGACTCACTCTGTTTTTATGTTTCACATGCCCACCACCTTCTTCCACTGAGAAGGTGGTTGGCTAAGCAGAGTGCTCTCATCTGGAGAGAATTACTACTTTCCTTGCTGCCCCTCATGCCCATACAGTCAGCAAGTACCAGCTGCCCTCTGAGGAGTTTCTCCCAGGGGCTTGGGCCTAAGCCCTGCTCTTGGGAGAATCCCTCAGTACTGTACACATAGTGCAACCCTGACCTAGCAGCCTCAGACAGAAGTCTTAACTCTTTGGGGGTCTGCAGAAGAGGTCTTTTTTGTTGCCCCCCCCCCCCCCCACTTTTCTATCCTTGTTCACAGAGCTATGCTAGACTGGGTTTAAGACTGGGGTTTTTTCCTAGCCTGAGTCTTTTATTACTATAAAAGGAGGAGTTTCTTCAAATCTCATGGCATGCATACACATGCATCACCTGTCAGTGCTTGCCCTCAGTAGACTTCAAAGCTTTGTGACTTCCAGATGTTTTGGAGTATAATTAGTATCAGACCCAGCCAACATAGCCAGTAGTCAGACAGGAGAAAGTACAAAACATCTGGAGGATGCCAGGCTGAGAAGGGCTGCTTTAAACTGTTAAGAGCTTGGGTAGACCAGTCCCTTCCTTTCTTTCATTCTCCTCTGCAAAACAACTGATGCCTTCAACATTCATCATGCCCTCTGGTATTGACTTATACAAGCTGTTTGGCTTTCAGTTTCTTCAGGTTTTTTCCCCCCTGCCCTAGGATGGAAGAAAGAACTGCCCATAAAAAGCAAGATTTTAGTGTAGACTGGGCAGCAAGGTGTTTTTCACATCAGAAAACAAAGTACCAGCAAATATAGGACTTGACTGTGAACCCACAGGTTCTGTCTCTGTACAAATGAGAAAAATTACTCCAGAATTTTCTTACCTCCTATGTTATCTGTACTATGAAGGTTCTAGACACCCATTGGGTGTTCTTACACCCATTTTGTTTTTATATTTCTCTTTTCTCTACTAACTTCTGCATACCTAGGGATCCCTAAAAAAACCAACAACCTGGAATATGTGCATTAGAACATTTATTTATTCTGCTTATTAGCATAGTGAACACAGATGATTAAATACGATTTTTTAACAAGACTTCACTATATAAGATAATATCAGTACTCGAGCAGTCAGGCAGAAACTTTTTGCTCTCTGCGGGGCTTTGCAAACTGATAAGACAAAAGGTAACATCAAAGGCAGGAGGCAACCTTGGAATGACTGAGTGTAAGCTAGCTATGGAAGCTAACTCCAGTATTCCTAGCTTTTCCAGATGGTCAATCCAATTAACTTGGACAACTTCAGAGAAGTTTGGACAAATTCCTGGAAAATATGGCTAGTCACAAGGGCTATATATTAGTTCCAGAATTGGGGCCAGTTGTCGGGACACAAGTGGGAAGATACTATTGCATGAATATCTGGCCTGTGGGCTTTTCATGAGCATCTGAATTTTTTGTATTTTATGCGGGATTTTAATTATTGAAAGCCGCCCTAAGACTTATGCCATGGGGGCAGCATATAAGCTGTATAAATAATAAATAAATACATCTGTTTGGCCATTGTAAGGAACAGGGTGCTGGGCTGGATAGGCTTTGGCCTGTTCCATCATGGCCCTCCTTATGTTGTTACTTTAAGAGCCCCCTTCCTTCTCATCAGCCTTTGCCTTATTAATATTTTGTTCAGTAGCATAGGGAGCCATGGAAACTTTTTAAAGTGAGAACTTTTATTGACAATGTAAATGGTAGGAGCAGCAGCCAAATCCAGATCTGGATCACAGTGACTGTGGGGATCAAAAAGTCAAAGCTCCTTATCCCTCACAGAGGGAGTCCAGTACAGACCAAATGGGGCAGGGGGAACATGATGGCAATTTGTGAAAATCCACCCTGCATTCTGGATCAGATCTTGGAGGAGCAGGATGGAGGAAAGAAAATGTCTATTGCACAAGTGGAAATCTGTTTGCGCAATGTTGCTTGTTTACTAAGGGCAGAATTACATGATTGAAATAACTTGTAGCTTGACTGTTGTGCCTGACAATTTCCCACTGTTCTCTTGAAAGCTCACAGATCAACCATAACTCTTTCCCACTTTTCCTTATCTTGCAAAGTGTTCTTCAGGAAATAATCTCTAATATAGTGTGTAGAACTTTGTAGTCTCCCAGCACATGATGCTGTTCACAGCAGAAATCAGAGAACCCAGTGTCATGCCATCCTGATAGGTAGAGATCAAAGTGTAAAGCAGAGTACCCAGTTGGTACTCTTAAAGCTTCTTCATTCACCTTCTATAGTATCAGGTAGAACGGCTGGCTGCCAGATGGTTGGGAAAGGCCAACCCCTTCTGGTTCTTCTAGCTGATAGTCATGCTCAGTAAACTCACTCTTATTTCTCATTCTAACTGTCTTTTTGGAAAGACAGAATTTATGAATTTAAAAGGAAAGCATAATGGGACTCTAACTCCAGAACAAGGACTTGTTATGCATTTTTAATCTCATATTACTCACTGTTTCTTCGCACTATTGAGCCACATTTTAAAGTTTTTCGTTTATTTATATCCCTCCTTTTTTTCCTTTCAAGGAACCCAAGGCAGCTTACATAATTTTCCTCCTCCTCTCAATCTTATCCTCACAACAATAACCCTGTGAGGTAGGTGGAGTTGAGAGTCTGTGACTGGCCCAAAGTCGCCCAGTGAGAGTAACGGCCAAGTGGAGACTAGGGCCTGGATCTCCCAGTTCCCCATTCCAACACTCTAACCACCACACCACTCTGGCTCTCTGCTTCATTCTTCATGTTTAGGGTAGAATCCAATGGTGACCACCATGAGTGGCCAGTCCTACCGATTCTGCTTCTGAGGCAGTGCCCACTGCTTGCCAAGTGGAGAGTTAGCACTTCTGGGGGTAACCAGAAATGAGTGGCAATACTCAGTCCTGCAGTGGAGCAGTTGGTTGAGCCTGAATAAGCTCTGCTGACCTGCCCCATTACAAAAATGAGTGTTCAGTTTGCTTCAGGCCATTTCCCCGGAAGTGCTGAATTTCCATTGCACAATCTGTAGTGTGTTTTCCAAAGGGTATGAACAGGACTGGCTGCTTGAAGAATGAAAGTGGTTGTGGATTCTACTCATAGGTGGACAGGGTTGGATAGTGCCCTTGATGAAGTAGGTTGTTTGCCTAAGAAACTTTGTGTTTGAGATGACCCACCACTTTGCCAGACGCACTGTTAATTCTCTGGACCGCTCACTCAAGATAAATGGTATGTGTCCAAGACAGAGATCTGAAGTGCAAATGTTTGGCTTTTGAAGCCATGCTTTCCTACAACTTCCTATAATTGAGCTGCAGCTCAAAGGATGTGGAGCTGCGTATGCGTGTGATCATTACAGCTCTTCTGTTGCCACTCAGATTTGGGTTTGCATAGATAAACAAGATTGCTTACTTATAACAGAAGTTCATTTAGAGGGCCTTCTTGTTGTCCTCATCCTTCTCTTTAGTGTATATCACTTGCCCACAGCTAACATACTTTTCTAGGAACTAAATAGGCAGAAAAAAGTTGGTCAGGCAGCAGTGGGTTTACAAATGCAGTCCCTGATACAGTCCCAGGAGTGCAGTAAAATGGAGGGTGTGCAAAGTACTAGTTAAAGAACTAATAAGAGTAAGCAGTCCTGTTCAGCAGGTAATCTGTTGGCTTGCTCTGGTATCATTATGGCTGAAGAAGGTACAGGGTAACACAAAAGTTTGGTCCAGTAAATAAGGGCCTGCTTGATCTGTTGTACATACATATGTCATACAGCATTTTCCATGTTAAGTAAACTGTTTGCATAGAAGGCTTTTCTAATATTTGTCATGCTACACAAATTTAGGGATGTGTCCTATCACACAAGGAAACTTCCTCTCTCATAAAAAAAAAAAAAAAATCAAGCCATCAACCAGAACCCTGCATACAGAAACTGGTTTTACTATTGCCAGCAATTAGTCTTTCATTCCTAAAGTAATTCTCACCATCCAAATGCTAAGGCGACTCTGGGACTCACCCTTCATTCCCCACACTTAAGACACACACCTAAACACCTTGGGCTGTGTTCAGTCCCTTGAAATGTTCTGCTGAAAATTCCTCTTTTGCTGGTCATTGTGTATGGGATGGCAAGAGAAAAGCAGTGTTTTTGTCATGACCGGCCTCTTCTGTTTGCATGGATTGGCAAAGCGCTGCTGTGCTTGGCATGCAACGGTTTCTGCTGACTCAGCTGTGGACCGCTGATTAGAGCTCTGTCTCCTCGTGATTCAGACCGCACTGCAGCAGTTCGCAGTGCTTGACTGAGGGAACTGTACTTACATGTAAGTGGTTTTGCTTCTGTGTGTGGCTCAAGCGGAATATCAAGGGAATGCCTGATCAGTCTTGATTTATCATGAAAATTGCAGGAAGCAATCAAAACCAAACTCTAATTAGAAGCTACTGTATTTTTCATCCTTTGTACTGCTGGTCTAAATTTGGCACATTGTGCAAATAAAGCCATCAAGTTCCTGGCACAGGTATTTCTTCAGTCTTAGTGCAAATATTACTACATTTAGAAAAATGTTTTAGAATAGGAATGCTTTAACATACTGCTTCTGTGGGGAATGAATTTGAATTGGGACTTAGCTGAGAGATTAGACATCAGTTATCATTACATAACAAGATTATGGTGTTACCTGAATGATTAATCACATTGTGATCCCTGTATGTAAATACCCATTGGATGCTATTAGATGAAGCTTTTATTCTACAATTGCCATGGCTTGTTCCTGGGATATTTCAGGAGCACAAGTATAATCTTCTTCCATGATTCCCTATCCTTGTTTCCTTCTTTTGCATAGCAGAAAAAAGAACCTAAGTAAAAGACACAATAGATGCATGGAGCATTTATCTTCATAGCACTAGGAGCCACTGCCTGGAACTATCCCTTGTCTATAAGCCAGATAGCCAGCTCCAGTGTAATTTTATCTGATCCATGGCAACCTTTCCAAATTTTAATCAAGAAATGGCAGGACATTTATCCATAGTGTGGTTTACAAGAGAGAGAAAATCTTCCAGGAAGGAAGGGAAATGTTACATTCTCCTGTTTCACCTGCAGTGAGACCTGGTGACCACCTCCTCCAATACGGAATGGGACCACTTTTGAGGAAGACAGTTGCTGTGGCAAAGTATACTTCCAATTCCCTGAACAAAAGCATAATTGTAACCTTTTACAAATACATGTTTGTAGCTGAGACATGTTATTCCCACATGAAAGGCTTCAGTCCGCACCTCCTTGCACCTATGCACGCTATTACATATTTCAGAAAGCTGTCTTTAGTCTAGTACAAGATGGGTTCATTAGCTTTGAAATAGCCTGCCCAGTACCATATTCTGAATCTGTTGGTACATTGACTATAAGAATTTCCTTTTAGTTCAGCAGAGAAGCTCTCACAACTCCCTCATGTTGCAGCCATTCTAGTATTTTTCAAGAATTTTAAAGACATTAGAATTCTTCCAAAAGATGAATAGGATTAGCCATTTGCCTTGGGCAGGTAACAGGACACCAGTAGTGTCCCTGGCAAATAGGAACTGTTGGAAGTGTGGAATAAAATCAGAATAGAGAAGGGGCCCTTCTCTGGTCTGAAAAAGCAAAAAGGAGCATCACAGACACAGTGGAAAAAAAGAGTAAAAGGGTGGTCTGAACAGAAAGCACTTGGTATTAGGAATGTGTCAATGACAGGAGAGCCAAGCATATGTGTTGAAAGGGACTACATGGCATTTACTACAACTCTCTAATGTGCCCGTATCCCACAGATCATAATAACAGCACGATACCCTTCAGGTAACTCAGGCGAGAGAGCCAAGGTGGATGTTGCAGGGGAAGGAATATAAATAACATGTTGAGCTGACATTTAAATTCATTTCTGTTTTATTTCCCTCCATTTTGCATTTTATTGTCATTGTTTTCTTTGGGTTTCTCTTTGTTTTACAGTTCTTTTGGGCTCCTTTTTTGAGACTGTGTTTGATGCGTTGGCTTCCCATCTGCTGCTTGTAACCATCTCAGCCATGAGTTGTGAGTGAGCCATCATGATGCTTCTTGATTTTTTTATTATTTTGTGCTTACTTGTTTTAATTATTATTATTGAATTTGTTTTAGTTTTGTTTTTGCTTTTGATTGTATAATTTTTACTTTTCAGGACGGGGACATGTCTTCACAGGCATAGGCTAAATCTTCTAGATTCGGAGTTGAAAAAGTTCTGGGCCCTTGTGGGATTACAGTTACTTGGGACTGTGCTGGAGTGGGAGCAGTTGGACTTGAGAGAAGCCCTCCAGTTGTTGCATTTGACTCTTCTTATGTAGGAACCAAATATGCCAATGCCTCTCTTGTGCTCTTAAAGTGAATTCCTCCAAAGCAGTCAGTGTAATTGCAGCAGTTTAATTGATGGAATCCTTGTAATATAGATGCTAGCCCCAAAGAAAAAAGTGGTGGGGGATTTTTTTGGTTCAGTCTGATTAGTCAAACCTAAATTATGACCTTTACTTATCTGGAACAACTTCCTTATGACACTTAAGAGGGGGCATCTTTTCAAAGATGCTGTAAGATCCCATCTTCTCCTAGTTTGTTGAAGAATTTTCCAGAGCTTGTAAGAGCAGAGATTTGATTCTGTACGATGGAATCAGTCCTTAGGAGATGCCCAGGAGATAGTATCTATATTTGCGCCATTGGAAAACATGGGCTCTGAAAATCATGTTTGAATATTCAGCCACATCTTAAGACCATTCAGTCTCACATGTGCAGAAAGTTTACTCATGCCTCAGGGGTTTGCCTTCTCCTTCTTCCCCCTGTGCTTCCCATAGCCTCTTGAATCTGATTTGGAGGATTTTTTAACCCCCCGAAGCAAACTTAAGGGTTCAAGTGGGGAGGAGGCTCCTGTTTTTATAGCAGTGTCTGCTGGTAGATGGATGAATACAGCCCAGCATCAGTGGAGAAGAGTTCATCATGGTCCAATCCACTATCTCCCCATTTGCACTGCATAACAGAAAACCCAGCTGAAGAACCCACAGCAGGGAATCAGTGTCAGAATGAACATACGTGTACAATGCACATGCTTGCAAACAAACATTTGTTCCCACTTGCATCCTTGGTTATGCAACTGAAAGGATTCAGTTTTATTAAGGAGAAGGAGGCTGTCATGATCAGTTTCTATAGACCACCAATGGGATACAGCACTCATTTGGACTTTTCACTTCCTCGTAAACTTAATTTACCTGAAACTAGTGGTTTACTGTTCTGTACAGAAAAGAATTTCTGGGCTTTTGTGAAGCACTGTTTTTATTGTTATTACCCTTACAGAATATATTTTTAAAAACATTAAACTGCAGCTGCATTGAGCCTGTGAGGTACAAGTGACTCTTCCACTCTGACATTTAGCTGTTCCTGAAGGGTTCATTTGAGGAGCAACTTTTAAACCATAACTGAAATGTCTACCTAGGGCTTCCATTGAAGCTAATTCATGCAATTAAAATGGTTTGTAGCCTTTGGTGATAAACAAAACATTTGTAACTCTACTGATTCTCAAATATGATGTTTTAAGGTTAAATTTTCTTCTCCCTTCTCATTAGCCTCGTAACGTTGCTGGTTTTCGGGGAACAGTCCGCTATGCTTCAGTGAATGCACATAAAAATAGAGTGAGTATTTCTCTTTTCTTGTAGTGGGATTAAGTGTTCCTACCTTTGTAAGATTATATTGGGGAACTATGCAGAGTACATGCTGGAACCAGTTTGGGGTTAAGGTGGTCCTGAGAGTATTGGTGCCTCTGTGTATATTGTAATTAAATACACTGACCTGAATAAACATAAGCAAGGGATTGTTGTATTTATTATGTTTCTATACTGTCCTTTAGCCAAAGCTTTCTGGATGGTTTGCAAGACAACTTACAAGATAGTATGTATGTAGCAAACTTTTAAATGTTACTACCCCATGTTCTCATCAATAGGCAGCTGTCTTGCACTGTTTCTCAGACTTGAAGGACAAAAAGCAGTGTCTGGTGCTGACCTTTGGAGAATTTGTACTGCTGCCTCTCTTCCCACCCCTCATTCTTCACTCCACACTCTCCCTCATGATTCACCTGATTGGGACAATTAGGGGTTTCCCAAAGAGTGACCTGAGTACCAGTGCGACCCTACACACCTCTCTCAATACCTCCTAGGCTCTCTGCACCTCCGGACTTTCATTTTCTTTCTTAAGGTAGCTGTTTTTTAACTGGGAAGAGCACCATACTGTAAAGTGAAGGGCTTTATTCAGGTTCAGGAGACCAGCTTTGGATGCTTCCAGGAAAAGTCCAGAAGGAACAGCCTTCCCTGGCATTCGTTTCAAGAATCTGGTATTCAGATGATATAATGGAGGAACCCTGTTACATTTCTAGCCTAAAGCTGTTGCACTGATAAAGCTATTTCCAACTTTTGATCTAATCCAATTTGAAAAGCTATCTGGCATCTGTTTGCCAATGATTTCCATAGGTAGACTACGCAGTCTTCAAAAGAAATAATTTTGGCTGTAATTGTTCTGTGGATTGCAGACTTAATAGAGGAGTGGGCAGACTTCAGGCTTGCAGGCACTCTCTCGCTCATCCTCTCTTCCCCTGCCCCCCACCCCTCAAACTACCAGGTCTACAAATCAGATCCAGGTGCAGCAACAGGCAATCACTTAGAATTAAATGATGTTTAGTCTAGGAATTTGTTTTGATTAGCTGCACTGAATGGAAGTCTTTCTGCCCAGAAATCTACTTCTGGATATGCTGTGCTTTTTAAAATGGTGTTTTAGCATTTTGTTTCAGAATTTTTGCTGCTGCGGTTAGGCAACTGAGAGTCAGAAATCCTTGCCAGTATGTAAAGCACCTAGAGTTCTACCAGTGGATCCATAACAACCTTCCGCATTCCCCAGTGTAACATTTAAATCACTGGCATTTGTTAGTTGTAAGGAAAGGTGAGGAAAGTTAAATATATTTTTTAGCAACCCTTCCTTGAAAAGAAAACTTCTATTATGGCTTTTACAAGCAAAGCTCATGTGTCAAGTTCTGCCAAAGTTTCTGACACAGTCACAACCATTTTTATAGTTTCTGAGTGCTCAGGTTGCTTCAGTTTATTCCCATGTTCCTGTATAAATATGCACATACATGAATGTGCACACACATATAGGGGAAATGGAGTGAGGAAAGGCTGGGAGAGCATGCAATGGAAGCACCGAGTGCATTCATGAATGAAACAAGCTCATATGCGCATAGCCACTATGGTGGACTCCACTTGCTCTCAATGAACTATCCACTGAAAGATGTAAAAGAACTATTTTGTGCGGAAGACAAAGATCCCCAGATCCTTTTACATTTCTACTCAGTAATTTCATCTTCCCTGTTGTTATGATCTATGGTTTTCCTGATTTTTTATATCTTTTTGAATGTGGGGAGGAAGGCTAAATCCAACAAACTGGGAAAAAAGAATGCTTCCAGCTCCTGTGCTTAATCTGTGTTGTCAGAAGTAACTTTGAGTGCTGTCATCCTTTTGAAGGGGGGGGGGGGGAGAAATGGAGAAATATACATAAGATTAATTATTGGCAATATTTCTTCCTTAATGCTGGCAGATCAATCATGCTCTGTCTTCCTTGTTGGAAAAAACCTAGACAAGTACTGGGTCACTATCACAATGTCATCAGGATGTATTCTGAAATTCCATGCACAGTACATATTTCATCTTCTTAGTGATTGTTTTGCAGTTTCCTTTATCTTTGCTCTCCCCCCCCCCCCCCCCAGTATTGGATAAATTTACCTGAGCAGCCTGTGATAAATGAGAAATGACTCCCCTCCCCCATCTATAAGCTCTCATCTCAGAGCACATTTCTGAGGTTGGAGCTGAGGCTGCGATTTCTCCTGTGGCTTGCTAGACTCTGTCTACTGGCTCTAGGAATGCATCCTTATTTATGGATTTTAAAATACTTGTAGGCGGCTTTTACAGTTATTCAGTGTGATGATGTCCCCATATTAAATGCAAATACCAAAAATAACAAAACTAGACTTCACATAACCAAACTAAATTTAACTTTTTCCAGAAGAATAGTGTTAAATGGTTTTGGAGATGAAAAATGTGGTCACCATGTACACGCACAACTTCAGTTAATCATGACTTGCACGCATGATTCTAACATGGATCTCCTAGAGATATTTGTCGGGGAGGCAAAATGTCTATGAAGCAGTACTTCTTCCTGTCATGTGCTGTGTAGAACAATGCAGAATGATAATTGTGTGATGGCCCACCAACAAGGTATATTTATATTTTTTGAAACTTTTATGCCCCATCTTATGTCTGAGACATTCTAGCCAGCTTATGTCCCAGTGAGTAATTAAACTCATCATTTCAGCTTGCAACATGTAATCAAACACAAGCACAGCAGAAAATACTATTTGTTGAGATCTATCTTTTGTATTTGTCTGTTTCTCTGTTAGGAGTGTCTTTTTCACTTAAACTCTCCCATCATCTGATCTAATTAGTTGCGACACATACACTTTCAAGCTCCATATCTGTTTACTTCTCTTTCTCTCTGTACTTCTGTTTCCGTGACTCTTGAATGCCGTGGGGCTTGGGCCTGAACTGGGCCACATGTAAGCATTCCACATCACGCATTTATTATGTACATGGGCCCATTAACTTGTAACTTGGCAGATGAGAAGCATGCCTTCCAAGGGTCATGTACGGCAAGTGCCTATAAACGTATCGTGTCTGTATGTGCCTGCCCACCCCTTAAGATCTGGATTGGGGGTCCTTCTTCGGGAGCCCTCTTTGAAAGAGATTAGGAGAGTGGCTACTTAGAGGAGGGCCTTCTCTGCGGAGGCGCCCGACTATGGAACATGCTCCTCAGAGAGGTGTGCCTGGCACTCTGTTCTTTTCGGCACCAGGCCAAACCTTTTTATTTTCCTATTATTTTAAGATTTATTTTTTATTTTAGTCAGGTTTTTATTAGAGATCTTATGCTGTGCCTCTGTTGTTGGACTGTCCTGAGACTTTTATGTATAGGAAGGGGTACAAAAGTTTTAAATAAATAAATAAAGGAAGACAATTCGTGGAAGACAATTTTTCCGTGGACTTGGGGGCAGGGGATGGTTTTGGGATGATTCAAGTGCATTAATTTATTGTGCAGTTTATTTCTATTATTCAGTATGCAGAATCAGTGGGAGCCTGGACCTTGTTTTCCTGCAACTAGACACAGCTAATTGTCGCTTGCCACTCACTGATAGGGTTGCGATATGAGTCAGCCACCAATTGGTTGTAATGGTCTCTGTGCAGTCAAACCTCTCTCCTAATGATAATCTGCATTTGCAGCTGCTTGCCAGCACTAGCATCACCTCAGACTATCAGGCATTTGATTCTCATAAGGGGCACGAAGCTTGGACCCCCCGCATGCACACTTTATAGGAGGGTTCGCTCTCCCATAAGGACCCAATGCCTGATGATCTGAGGTGGAGCTGAGGCAGTGATGCTAGCGCTGGGGAGCATCTGCAAATACAGAGGAAACTTTGCCTGCTTGCCCTCTGCTCTTCCCCTGCTGCGTGGCCTGGTTCTTAACAGGTCATGGACCAGTATCAGTCCGTGGTCTGGGGGTTGGGAACCACTGTATTAGAGAATACATGTGAAATGTATATACAGATAGCACTTTATCAGTACCCCAACACATAAATCAGGCTTCCATAAGAAACCTGTACTCCAAAGGAAGTCCAGCTAATTCCGCAATTCCTGACACAGCTTCTTCTCTGCTACTTACCTTCCCTTGGAGTGTATAGCTGTAGGAGAGTTTGGGTGCAATTTGGAACTCTTTTCTAGGGTTATCATGAGGCCAACAGGTCCAGCCATGGAGCAGATTCTAGCCTCAAGTATAAGTGTTTGAATTTTGGTAAAGAGGTGTGTGTGGTGGGGAGGTGTCTTCATTAAATCCATAAACCCCACCCCTAGACTCCACCTAATTTTAGCCAAATCATGATCCTTGTAGCCTTAGAAAATAAGAGCTGCATGAGTTGGTCCCCTTTTGGCCTCCACAATTCAAGCACAGCTGCACTGCCTTCTACATCAGAAAGAGGCTTTGTGCCTGATGTCTCAGAGTTCGAAAACAGGCAAAACAAAGCAGAGATGGTTTCCTAAAGACAGAACGTTTGACAATGCCCATTCAAAATCTCTAGCTTTCTGCTTGGCGAAGGCCTAGTTTTAATTATGTATATACAGTGGATTTAGTCATAGTCAGCAGGTTTCTGCTGGGTCATGATGTTGCTGTGGAGAGTACCGCTAGCCTCATTCTTTTAAAAATGTTCTTTTATTTTTATTTTTTTCCAGGAGATGGGTCGACATGATGACCTGTGGTCCCTGTTTTACATGCTGGTGGAGTTTGCAGTTGGTCAGCTACCATGGCGCAAGATCAAAGATAAGGTAGGGATTTCCATGCAGTGATAGAACAGTAGGCAGTTGCTAGGTAAGGTCTGCAATGAAGCAAGAACTCGTTTCTCACCCATTTCATCTGCCTAAGGGTTGACATTATGTGTAGTGTTGTGTGATTATGGAATCTGCTGTCATTTCCCTCTAGGAGCAAGTTGGTATGATTAAAGAGAAATATGAACATCGAATGCTGCTAAAACATATGCCTTCTGAGTTTCACCTTTTCCTGGATCACATTGCCAATCTGGATTACTTCACTAAACCAGATTATCAGGTAAAACACAATTTTAATGATAACGGGACACATCTGAGAGGTTTGTCTTTTTCTTTCCACACAGAAAGTTACTAAAATCTTTTGAAAAGATTTTCCCAGACATGTTGGCCTTGCTCCTTCGATGTTGTTTGGGAGAATGCTGTTTTGAGAGAGCCCTGCCCCTTTGTCCCTTATGTGTGTTTGGCAACTATGCATAGGCCAGAGGTAGGGAAAATGTTGGAGAAGGGAGATAATCCCCCACCCAGCCCTCCGTAGGCCAGATGCTGTCTGACACTATGGCCATGGCTCATGATGTCGTTTGGTCCTTCTCTGAAGCTTTGCCTGGATTCCCTCCAGTATGCCGTTTGGGAGGAACCCAGCTTCTGTGTGCATGGTTCTTGCAAAACCTCCCTGACCATGATGCCAGGATTAAGCAGAGCAGTGCTCCTCCATCTCATGCCTCGACTGGGATGGGTTTTCTTGCCCCATGCCTTCCCCATGGAAAGGGCAAAAGTAGTAGGGAGAGGAACCTATGCTGCTGTTTCCAATAACAGTGGAAATTCTCTTGTGCACTGCTCACCCTCCTAGTTGGCCGATGACTGGGGCTATCAGTGAAGTTCCCTTTTTCTGTTAGCTTTCGTGGAGTAAGGCTTCGGAGAGAATGGGCTTTGTAAATTGGAAGGGGCCTCATTTGAGGTTCCGTGATGGGTCAGAAACACTGGTCTGCTATGTTAATTGGCCAATGGGCCAGAAACTTCCCATTCTTGGATCAAAATATGATTCAAATAGAACCAACATATTGCTCTCTTCCTGAATCTCCAGTTAGCCTAAAACTATAGCTTACATTTCACTTTTGTTTGCTTTTAATGTCATCCTACCATCCTCACAAGCAGCTTGTTAGGATAAAATTACTAAAAATGTGAATATCGTTCATGGTCTGTACAAAATGCTTAGTGAAATGGCTTGTATTCTGTGTGTGGGGTGTGTAACACCTGTGATGCTAAGTGCAGAATTCTCATTCACATGTCCATGTATGATATTTGTTCCCTTTACTGTGGCCAGAAAAGAACACCCAGTCACACAAGTCAATGAAGCCAAGTCACAGCATGCAACAAAATAATAATAATAGCAATAGCAATAACAATAGCAGCGGTGACGGAACACAGTCCCTTGAAGGAGCTTTCTCTAAGTATATTCAAATGCTGAAAAGAGAGTTCCTGCTTTATGTTAGTCTGTGCAGTTAGTCTCCTGCAATTGTTAAAGGGATCAGGTGCCACGAAAGACATCTGTCTGCCTGACAGCCTGGAGAGCTTCTCCTTGTCAGAATAGACAGTATTGGGCAAGATTCAGAGGTGACTTCTGATGATCTTCGTTTGCCTGCGTTTTGAACCTTTTCCTTACACTTTGCTTCTGTTCTAGCTGATCATGACTGTATTTGAAAATAGCATGAAGGAAAGAGGGATTACGGAAAATGAGGCCTTTGACTGGGAGAAAGCTGGTACAGATATTTTATTATCCACAAGCACCTCCACTCCACCTCAGCAGAATACAAGGCAGACAGCAGCCATGTTTGGGTGAGTAGTTATTTGGAGCCATTATGCAGTCAAAATTCACAGAATTTCATTCCCTGGATGCAGGGTTGTTTTTATTTTTTACTGTTTTTGTGCCATCAAGTCATCTCCAACTTAGGGTGCCCCTTGCATTAATGCCCTCCAGATTGTCCCATCTTTGACAGCCTTGCTCAGCTTTTGTAAATGCCAGGCTAGGACGTCCTTAATGGTGCCCATCCATCCCATATTTGGACTTCCTTTTCTTCTGCCTTTTCAAGGAAATCCAAGGCCCCATTTAATAGAAGACAATTTATATAGTGCATGGGACAACTATTTGTTTATTTAGTTAAGATTTTTTATATATGCTCTCAGCACATTGCTCTCAGAATGGTTTGCAATGTTTTGGCACTTTAACAGTCAAGAATTTAAATCCATTTTCTAAAAATTATGAACAATGAGCCATAAAACTGCTGTCAGCACCCTGCGAGTAAAGGAAAGTCTTAAGCTGGTGCTGGAACAATCACAGTACTGGTAAAGGCACCATGCAGCAGAACTAAAACCTGTTGATCTATCACATTTATGCCTCACCTTTTTCTTGGAGGACTCACAGCAGCATTCATCAGATTTTATGACATACTGTCTTACCTGTCACCATCAACCCTTGCAGACAGATCCTGTGTCACCCTGGGCCAGCTCAGCCACGAGGCATGCTGAGCCGCTTGTGCCAGAGCATGGACTGACTACAGGCATTTCCATAGTAAAGTTTGGGTGAAATTTGAGTTTGAATGTAAGCTGCAAGCACATGGCTGGGCAACAGTGAGTTGGATCAAAGGAGCTCTTCAATTTCATGAACACAAGAGTCTTTGTTCCAATGGAGACTCCTGCTTATGGGGGGAGGGATGTAATCTTTTCTAATTCCTTCTTCCTGTCCACCTTCCATGCTTTTCCTGGGGATCTCCCAACCTCTGTTAAGATTGTTTTAGAGTACAGGGAACTGAAAGGGGGAATGAGTAAAAATCTCACTCCCATCCATTTCTGTGAGTGGGAACCAAAAGCAAAACCTTGTTCACAGCATTGTTGGATTGAACCCTTTGTGTCCATGGACATCTCTAAATGCAGATCCTCAACAGTTTTCTTCCAGTGGCTCTAGATGTGACTTTTTTCAATAATCTCTGACATTCTCAGAGTGTTTGGCCTGGAACGAAATTAAGAAATCTAGGAAGTGAGAAACTGCTAATGTTTTGATATAGTGTGAGAGGGGACAACACAACTACTTGGTGAGGAGGTACACTGTAAGGCATAGAGATGTGTGGAATTTGGTGATGCCATGTTTTACTTGTATTTCTGTGTCTTGTAAAGATACTTCCAAAGGATTGTGACCTCACTCCAGATTTAAATTTGATAGACACAGATTAAAGCAAGCAAGAGGTACCTCACATCTTTTTGGCTGTAGAAATGAAACATTGGTCACATTTATAATCTCATATTCTGTTAAGGGCAACTCAGTGAGTTTCATGCCTGAGCAGAGAGTTATCCATTTTCTAGGTCCAGTACTACATACGCTGAGAGGTAATATGATATAGTGAATCTTTGGATACTGGACTCCATATTTCTGAACCCACAGGTGCATTATCAGCAATAAACAAGCAGAACAGATCTACTCGCACATAGTAGAATTCTTCAAGGCTGAAAGACGAGATGCTTTCTAGCATGCTGACTGGTTATCATGGGATCCACATTATTGCCAATAATGAGTATTATCCACTATTAAAAGCAATGATGTAGAAGTATCACCTCCTTGCCACAAATGAGAATCTACTGAAGTCCCAAGATAACATTTGGGTGAGGAATAATGTTATCCCAGGGCGCAAGGTTATGGCTTTATGCTGCAACCGTGGAGCCTTATGGTCATCCAGTGCAAACTGGGAGGAGCAGCAGGGGCAATCTTTGTTTTTTCCATTACAAGGAAAACTGAACTATCCACAACAAATCTAGCTGCAAATTGTTGGCTTATTCTCAGCTTATTCAGTAGGGGGTGAATAACTTTCACATTCTTCCTCTGTCTCAGAGCCCATTAGAGAGGCCAGGAAAGGAGGCAAGAGAGACTGGAAAAGAAACTTTTATAAAGTTGCTGTACAGGTTTAGCGAAGCTCCTATAGGTGCAGTCCTATTGACAGCTCTCTCAGTGTTCAGGAACCCCCAGACATGGTGGCTTCTGATAAACCAGTCCAGGGCAGGAGGAGAGGTGGGAACAATCTTTGCCTCCTTGACCTCCCATGCTGCATTTTAGGCTAGGCAGGTTTTTGTTCATCTAGCTAGGGCACATCAAAGGGAGAGAGAAAAAGACTGAAGAATGGCATCAAGATAGCATGTTTCCTGGCCTCTCTAGCCTGCTTTCTTCCCCACTGAAACACCCTGTTTTCCCCATCTCCAAGGTTGCTTCTTTCTGCCCTTGCAGAACAGCTGGTACAGTCCTTTTCCTGTTGGCTGGGTGTGTGTCAGAATTCAAATGCCCCAATCTGAGGTTGGAGTGCTGTCTCCAGCCTCAGAGCTGGGAATCTGAAGTGTCCTGTGGTCCCTCAGACATTGCCTACGGGCTTAGGAATCCCTCTGCACATTTAGAAATGCCTGCTGCATTACAACATGTTTCAGGTGTGAATGTATTATCCTTGGTGTCAGCTACTCTCTGCTTTTTAAAAATTGTATTTGCAGTTATAACAAACAGAACGACAGGAGCAATACCTGCAAGTGGTTACACCAACTGCAAGAACACATGCAACATAAGAATAAAAGCATATCCAATCACAATAACTGTTCATTACACCATTATTACCTAAAATTTTGGACACTTCTGTTTCAAATATAGGCATATAAGTACACTGCACGTTTAAGCATCCAGATAAAACTGATGATTTTAATATATGAATTCAAGGACAGCTAGACAAGAAAGATTTTCAGTCCACTAAACAATAGATGGTGGGTATTTATCACTTCAGACTTGGAATATAAGTGTATTTGCAACTCTTGGGGCTCTCAGAGTCCACTTTTCCTTTCCTTTCCTGCTTTACGGGTATTGGCTGCTGTCGGATGAGCTCTTTTTGGACTGACCTGACCCAGCTTTTATAAAAGAGCCTTGCCTAGCCTGTTGCCATCCAGTGGTTTTGGGCTTCAACTCCCTTGACTATTGACCATGCTGCTTGGGCTAACAGGACGTGATTGTAGCTTCCTGTACAATAGGAGACTTTTACTGTGATTTTTGCATATTTTCTCCCCTGTAGTGTGGTAAATGTCACTCCAGTTCCTGGAGATTTACTTCGTGAGAACACGGAGGATGTTTTGCAAGGAGAGCACCTGAGTGACCAGGAGAATGCTCCCCCAATCTTGCCTGGCCGGCCAACAGAGAGCCTAGGTCAGGCTCCAAATGTCGCCTTCAATGAAGGAGAGGTTTGGGAAGAAACAGATGTGAACCGCAACAAACTCAGGATCAGCATCAGCAAAGTAAAGTCCTTTGACTTTCTTAAATCTGTACTATTCTCTTTGTCTTCCACCTGGTGTTGTACCCAAGAGACTGTGAAACTTTTCACATTAGTAATGAATATGAATATAGTATTTCTAATAAAAAGTGAGAAAATTGTGGGGCTGAAGAAGTCTGCTGTTCACAATATCAGCATATTTGACAAAATGCTCAAGGATCGGGAAGCTGCTCCTTTGATCTCTGTGGACGTGGGCAAGAAAAGACACATGAGCCACTATGTCATCCTTGCACTAGGTTTTTGTGGAAATTAATTTCCATATCAGGACAGTTACATTATGACTATCATTATTACAAAAACGTGTGTGTGTGTGTGTGTGTGTGTCTATATATATCTTTTATATAGATAGTATATCTATTATATAACTATATCTATAATATAAACTGTAATAGATACTGCATATAGATAGATACACTAAAATTTTATTTACAGTGTATATATACTCCTTTCTACACTAAACATTTATTTACACTGTCTTCAGTCTCTTACCATATTACTTAACTTAGATAATTAGACTGTTTGGCAAGCTCTGCTAGTCCATATTGTTTTTTTACATTATTCTTGTAGGGAGTTTTGTGTTACCTTTATAAGTATGGGATTTGAAATTAACAAGTAATGCTTGGTAGACTTTGCTTATGGAGGTCAAGGCAAAATGACTGATTCACAAGCTTGTGAGTGACGCTAGCATGTTACTCAGTACAGCTGTCTCTTAAGAATCTTGACCTTTATGCCTGAATTCCATGTTTTTATTTTCTGTTGCCTTTGTTTCTGTAAACAGAAAGAAAATGGCTCACATAAAAGATATCTCCTTCCCACAAAATGTTGAGCTACAGTTGCTATCTTTAGTCGTATGCTCTGTGTAATCTCAAGGGAGATACAGAAGATTACAGCAGCTACCTCTGAGCAGCCGGCAGCTGATATTCCTTTTTGGGGAAACTACTGTGGCAAGCTTCCACGGCTACCCTCCCTTCCACGGCTACCCTCCTATGCTGTTTATATGAGTAGACTGTTCAAATATGAACTGCTGAAAGTAGCATCTAAATCAGCTTTTAGACTTGTAATAGATGGTGTGCCTTAAATGACTGTGTCTAGTTGTAGAGTGAGAGGTTGTTGATCCCCTCCATACATATGTTATGAAGGCCTGCACAGGGTTAAAGTCATGGAGAATTCACCATGAGTGTCAGGACTGCCTTGGTGCTCAGGGTGGATCTCACCCTCGGCTCGTGACTGCTAGTTCTCTGCATTCAAGTATGGTCACGACAGCGTAATCCTGTTGCAGTGTCTTGAGTGCAGTCTGTCAACTGATGATGTGAGATGGGATGCGAATTAGCATTGCCATATGGTCGGTGGCATCACAGTGATTTATAGCTGACTTGGTGGTGTTCTGCTTGGGTTTTCTCTCGCTTTCAGACACAGTGTTTGGCAGAAGAAGATCAAAAAAGTGGCGTATGCCCCAGCTCCCCAGTGCGAGCTGCACCAGACTCCCCTACGACTCAAGGACGCTCTCTGAGATACCGTCGCGTGAACAGCCCCGAGTCAGAGCGCCTCTCCACTGCAGATGGAAAAGCAGATCAGCATGAACGAAGGTTCGTCGGTTATCCACAAGTTGCCTTTGTGGTTGCTTGTTTATCTAACTAGTCGTGGATCAAAGTCTTAGTAAGAGGTTTCTTGAGAGCAAGGCAAAGCTTGATGGTGAAAAACAATGAGTTCCCACTCATCAGGGGAAGCCATACCCCCCCCCCCCCCGGTTTGACTTGTTCCTCCTTTTCATCACCTCAGCCTGCTTATTCACCAACACCTCGCTCTTGCTCAGGGAGTGTAAGCAAAGAAGCAAGCAAACAGCAGGGGATAGAAGAATGTGAGAAGAGCCTTGCTGCTTCAGACCAAGATCATTCCGGTCCAGCGTTTTGATCATGCAGTGGCCAATCGGTGGCAAGAGGGAGCACTGCTATGTGTGATGTGCGCTTGTCCGAGGGCCCTCTGCATGGCAGGCGAGCTGAAAGGATGACGAGGAACAGAAGCCACTGACAACCCTAGCAATTAAGTAGCCTGATGGTGTAAGGGGTGCTACCAAGCATATCCTGTCCATGGGGCCCTCAAAACTGGGAGCTGGTGCTGAGGTCTTTGCTAATAGAATTGTTTCTCTGCTTCTCAAGTATCAGTGAAGTTGGGTTAACCTAATTCAGCCTCTTATGAGCACTCTTGTATTCAGATTTCAGTGGAACAGGATAGGATAAAGCAATTTTATCTAATAAAAATGACCATAGTAATCATGGTTAAGGGTGTGCTGCTTTAACAGCTGTGCAGCTTTTCTCAAGATTAGGGACAGAAGAGGATTCCAGGACAGTATTCAAAGTTAGTCCTATGTAAAGTAGACCTATTGAAATGAATGACACTTAAGTTAGCCACAAGTAGATAAATTCCCATTCATTTCAATGAATCTACCTTATATTTAGGTACTACATTTATATCCCACTGTTTTTTTTTCCTTTCAAGGAACTCAAGGCAGCTAATGTATTTCTCCTCCTCCTCCTCACAATCTTGTCCTCACAACAACCCTGTGAGGTAGGTCGGACTGAGAATCTGTGACTGGCCCAAGGTCACCCAGTTGGCTCCATGGATGAGTGGGGACTAGAATCCCAGCCCCACACTCTTAACCACTACACCACACTGGCTCTCCTTAATGCTGGACATTTAATACACTGGATGCCACCTTAAAAATCAAGAGGACATGTAATATTGCTTCAAACACCTAATCATGGGGAGTGAAATTCCCCAAGATTTTATGTTATTTTTATTTGGGCTGGTCTTACCAATACTTTTGATTCTAAATTCCTGGTAGGTGCTCTTAATAGTAGCTGTGTTACTGGCAATATAGGAATTTCATCTTAGATATTTTAGGTCTCATATGTCAGATTTATCCTAGTAATGGAACTCACTGTAAGCATTTTATTGCATGGTCGCATTCTCTCAAAGCATACAATAAAGAACTGGGGATGGGTCAGTGGACACAATTTTAGGTGAATATGTAGATTGTTAATGCTTTATCTGTCATATAAAGGCCAGTCTGAAGTAACTTTCAGCTCTATTAAGATCAGTTGTTATTAGAACAAAAACCACATAGCACTTTTCTGTTGTAAGATTCTTCAGGTCATGTGTGTGTGTGTGTGTGTGTGTGTGCACTCATGCACTTGTATGCATGGTAGGGCTGTGAGTTTACACTTGTATGGTTTTTTATTGTCAAGTCATTACTGATAATTATGTGTGGGATCTGCAAAAGATGTGCAGCTCTTCAGAGTTCCAGCCAGACTGTGCCTCCCTTCAGGATCCTCCGTTCCATTAGTTCCCCTCTCACTGGCTTTCCTTCTGCTCCCTTGCCCCAGCAAACACCCAGTCTTCACTGGCCAGTGAGTATGCTTGGTCCTCCCTGGGCTGTTTTTTCCCCACACTGAGTTTTCTCCCCTAAAGTACTGCTTAAAACCTTGGGGTTCCCCCAAGCCTACTGATACTTTCCTCTTGTGCATGGATGGTATCATTTTGGCTCCATAATGATTATTATTATTATTATTATTATTATTATTATTATTATTATTATTATTATTATTATTAGAACATTTCTATGCCGCCCCTTGCTGAAGCCTTGGGGCGGCTTACAACACAACACAATACAATACAATACAAAAATAACAATATAAAATTAAAAATTAATATATATATATATAAATGATATAAAAGTTAGAAAAGTTAAAGAAAAGAAAAGAAAAGAAAAGAAAAGAAAAGAAAAGAAAAGAAAAGAAAAGAACTCGCCCTGGCCAGATGAATAAGTGAATATTGTTAACAATTAAAATGACGTTTAAATAAAAAGGTCTTCACCTGGCGCCGAAAAACAAATAACGACGGCGCCAGGCAGACCTCTCTGGGGAGCACATTCCATAGACTGGGCGCCACCGCAGAGAAAGCCCTCCTCCGAGTACCTACCCTCCTAATTTCTTTCACGGAGGGTTCCCGGAGATGGGCCTCTCCCGCAGATCTCAAGGGGTGGTCGGGCATATATGGACGTAAGCGCTCCTTCAGGTAACCAGGACCCAAGCCGTTTAGGGCTTTATAGGTCATAACCAACACCTTGAATTGGGCCCGGACTTCAATGGGAAGCCAGTGAAGCTGTCGGAGGACTGGAGTCATGTGAACATAACGCCCCGTCCCCGTCAGCAACCTGGCAGCTCTGTTTTGAACCAACTGAAGTATCTGGACCATCTTCAAGGGAAGCCCCACGTAAAGTGCGTTACAGAAGTCAAGGCGGAAAGTCACCAGCGTGTGTGTCACCGTCGCCAGGCAGTCGTACTCCAGGTAGGGGCGCAGCTGATTAATCACCCGAAGCTGATAGAAAGCGCTCCTTGCCACTGCTGTCACCTGAGCTTCCAATGAAAGCTCCGGGTTGAGGAGTACTCCCAAGCTGCGGACCTTGTCCCTAAGAGGGAGTGCAACCCCATTCAGGGCCAGGTCAAATCCACCCTCTCCGAAGCCTGATCCGCCAACCAACAGGACCTCCGTCTTGTCTGGATTGAGCTTCAGTTTATTGGCTCTCATCCAACCCATAACCTCAGCCAAGCATCGGTTCAGCACAGCCACTGCCTCACCTGGATTAACAGCTGGAGAATAAGGTGGATATTAGTATATAGAATAACAACTACATAGCACATTCTGCTGGAAGACTTTTCAGTTCATAATTCTGATGAACCAACAATTTGGATTTCTCTATGTTGTGACTTTACATTGTGCTCAAAGTACTATAGAAGAGATTGTTCAGTCATTTCAGAGGGAAAGGTTAAGAATCATCATCATTTTGCTTTCAGAGGAATTATGAGAGCCAGTGTGGCGTGGTGATTAGAGGGTTTGATGGGGGACCCAGGAGATCAGGTTTCTAGTCTCTGCTTGACCATGAAGCTCACTGGGTGTCTTTGGGCCAATCACAGCCTCTCGGCCTAATTTACCTCACAGGGTTATTGTTGTTGTGAAGATAAAAAGGAATGGAGGAGGACTATGTAAACTGCAATGGATTCTTTACAAAAAGAAAGAAGGCATGATATAAATAAGGCCGGGGCGACTTATTTTATATTGTTAATTTGTTTTATATTTTTAATGTATTATATTTTAATTTATGTTGTGAGCCGCCCTGAGGCTTCGGCGAATGGGGTGGCATAGAAATATTTTAAATAAATAAAAATTTTAAATAAATAAATACATATACATATGTTCTAATAATAAACAATAATACACTTTCCACTTCATAAATACTATTATTTATTTATTAGATTTATAGCCTGCTTTTCTCCTATGAATGCAGAGTGTCTTACATCATTCTCCTCCTCCTGCTCTCAATCTTAGCCCCATAACAACAACCCTGTGAGGTAGGTTGGGTCGAGAGCCTGTGACTGGCCCAAAGTCACCCAGTGGGCTCCATGGCCAAGCAGGGACTAGAATCCAGGTCACCTGAGCCTCAGTCCTGCACTTCTAACCACTACACCACACTGGCTCTCTGTTTCTATTGCATTTGGTTCAGAGTGAAGCATGAAGACATTCAATGATAGAATGGGGAAAAGGGTTTGCATTTCATTAACCTAGATTATTCTAAAAGTGTTGCTCTTAAATAATTACATTAAATAATTAAGTGTGTGGCTAGGACAATGACCAAGGGCAACAAGTAATGTGTTCAGGTGCTTTAAATCGCCCTATAATTAAGTTCAGAATTGACCTTTACAATTAACTTCTAAAATTGACTTTTTAAAAATAATATGGTCAATGCATAGCCCAGAACTTACTTGAAGAAAGTTGCATAATTTGGGCAGGCAGGTTTTAGGAGACCTAAACATGGTCATTCACAAATGTTTTTTTTTAATCTATAGAGCACATTTCAATAGGTATTTCCATTTAGTTCACAAAAATGTATTTATTGATATATCCCATCTTTTTTCTAACGAAGAACCCAAGTTGGCTTACTTAATTATGCTCATTTTCATTTTATCCTTGCAACAACCTGTGAAGTAGGCTAGGCTGAGAGTCAGGGACTAGAACCTAGATCTCTTGAATCCTAGTCCAACATTTGAATCATTATGTCACTCTGGCTTGCCCATAAACAATATAAATTATTTATTTATGTTATTGCTGCCCTGAGACACCGTAAAGGGTAGGATATTAAAAATTCTAAATAAATGATAGATAGGTAGATGGATAGATAGATAGATAGATAGATAGATAGATAGATAGATAAGGCAATAAATATATACTAAAGCATTGATCAGTAAAAAAAAGCTGAATAAAAAACGTGCAACATACAATATCTCACTGGGTTAAAAGGTCTAAGAACATTCAGAAGGTCTTTGCCTGCCACCTAATGTTGGTGCCAGGCAAATGTTCCTTGAAAGGGAATTCCATAAGTGAGCCACCACAGCTGAGAATGCCCTTTTCTGAGTTGTCATCCTGCTCATCTCTTGTGGCAGGTGGGTCACTTTTGTCAGGAGCCTTGGAAAATGTCAGCCTGGAATAACTGAAGGAAAAAAGTAGGGCTACATGTGATCATAAAACCAGGGCTCTTGATGAAAAAAATGTCCAATGTGGACACTTCTCCTCCACAATGTACAAATCCCTCATCTCATTCTAATGCCATAATTTCTATGGATTTCTCACTAGAGGTCCCTCAGGCCAATCAATATAGCAGAATATGATGAATGAATGGATGAATGTGGCAGCTCTGGATTTGTGATCATGTGTAGTTCCACCATAAAAGAGATAAGTAAGGAACTGTTCCTTCAACACAATTGACAAGAAGGTGGTAGGAGGCAAGCAGGATGAGGCTACAGGAATCAACGGCAGGAAACAGTCATGGCTATATGAATTCAGTCTGGACCACCACATGTTTGAAAAGTCCAGTTGCATATACTGTTTGGTACGAAGCATTAATCTAAACATGCTTTCAATGTTTGGCAGATCTTTAAGTACTTAAGTTCTTTTTGTTGTTGTTGTTGTTAGTCGTGAAGTCGTGTCCGACCCATCGTGACAACATTCCTCCAGGCCTTCCTGTCCTCCACCATCCCCCAGAGTCCACCCAAGCTCACACCAACTGCTTCAGTGACTCCATCTAGCCACCTCATTCTCTGCCGTCCCCTTCTTCTTTTGCCATCTATTGTTCCCAGCATCAGGGTCTTCTCCAGGGAGTCCTTCCTTCTCATTAGGTGGCCAAAGTATTTGAGTTTCATCTCCAGGATCTGGCCTTCTAAAGAGCAGTCAGGGTTGATCTCCTCTAGGACTGACCGGTTTGATCGCCTTGCTGTCCAAGGGACTCGCAGGAGTCTCCGCCAGCACCACAATTCAAAGGCCTCAATTCTTTGGTGCTCAGCCTTCCTTATGGTCCAACTTTCACAGCCATACATTGCAACTGGGAAAACCATAGCCTTGACTATACACACTTTTTT